GAAAGAATAATCTCTATGATATTTTTCCAATAGTAGAAGATTATTTTCCTTAATAGTTGATTGTATAACTATTATACAATTTTTCCTTTTAGAGTTATTTATAGCCCTACAAATAAGGACTTTTACTTTGTAATAGAAACGGGTTTATTATATACAATTTATAATATCTCAAATGGATTAATAATTTAATTTCAATTGTTTAGTGAACTTAAATTTAGTTTCAAATGTCATTCAAAATGGATGGAAGTTGTTTAATAGCAGTCATACTGCAAAGGATATTCCGCGTAATAGTATGTCAACTTATGACTACTTCACGTTATAAAAGTGATAAAATAAAATTAAAAATTGTATTTTAACCCTTTGATCTAAAGATTTTGCTAGAAACGTCATTTTATCATTTTCCTTTCAAGGGTACTACATAATTTGAAATAAAATTGAAGTTCAGTGATACAATTGAAACAAATTAAAGTTAAATGATTTAATTGAAATTTTACTAAAAGTTCAGTACTGCAAATGAAATTTACTCTCAATTATCATGGATACTACACAGTGACGAGGGTAAACATGTTCCATAAATAGTCAGAGTTATGAACAAAATGAGAACGTCAAGAATTTAATTTTTTAATTATCGAATCTAATATTATGCATCATTTCGAATTATGTCAACAAATGCAAAGGAGGGTTCAGGGTTGGCCTAAGAAGAGCTTTGTAGAGAAAGAGTTAGTAGTTAAGATGGAAGAAGATGCACGAGTGAGACCATGGTTAGGACTCGATAAAGGAAAGGCTAAAGCTTTCAAATAGTATTAATCTTTCGATGAGGTGACTTCCACTTATCTTTTACCTTTTGAAAAATTGAAAAAAGATGCATGTTGGGCCATGATTACTTTAATGCATATTATTAACAGAGTGTACACACTAGGGTGTAATGTATTCAGGGGCGGAGTTAGCACCCCGATGAGTCCCTCGTGCTGGTTCCATTGGAAATTCTCTTTTTTTTCCTTACATTGTGCAGCCGTCCACACTCACCTAGATTCCTGGATCTGCCATTGAGGATATGTAAAAGGAATCTTTAATATGGCTGTGAATCTTTTGTACACTTTTGCCAGACTTAGCCATACCAAACCCTCCAAAAACAAAAGTAAATGCATGTCTTAATCTTGATAAGATTTCTTTTATCTATCTAACTGCATATAAATATATGTATCCAATATGCATATTTATTGAAAATTGAATCTGGAGTTTTCATTTTCTTGCAGAGAATAAGTAATTTTCAATATTTGTGCATTAGTACTGTCAAATATCTTTATTTTCTCTGGTTTGCCTATTAAAATTTATTCTGTACATTATGCAGTTTGAATAGAGGAAGAGCCACCATGATTAATCTTGTTTCAACTGGAGTCCCAACTCCAAGAAGGCTTGAGGTTCTTGTCAATCCTTTACTTCTGTGTAATCATAATCGAGAAAAAATAGAAATTCTTACATGAAAATAAACTGTAATTTTCAAAAATTTGTTTTTCTACAAATCAAATATCAGGGAAAATACAAGGCAATGGTGGTTACTTTGTTTCTTGGTCTGGGGTCCCTTGTCTCATGGAACAGTATGCTGGCAATAGGGGATTACTACTATAATTTGTTCCCAGTAAGCTACTAATATCCATCTTTTTGCAGCTTTGAGTAATTCATAACCACAAATTTTGTTATTATTTCATAAATTAATTTATTATTTTTTTCTCAGCTCAATTCTGCGTAGTCTCCGTTTATGGGCTAAAACTAGTGTTTTTAACAAATTCCTCAATTTGAATTGTTCACAGTAAAAGCCACTCCTTAAGAAGAAAAATAAAAAATAACCCGTGTTGTTGTCTGTAATGGTTCGATAGTCTGAAACTTCTGCAAATAGAATGATTTTATGACATCCCTGATCGGTGGAACTTTGAAATGTTGACTACATATGACAGTTGATAATCGAATGATAGGATAATAATTGAATAATAATTTTTTTTAGAGTACCTATTTTTATCCACCATTCTTATATATCTAATCACTTTTCACTTTATGTAAATTTACTTAAATAGACAAAAAATCCGACTTAGTTAACCAAGTCCATCAGACTCAATCCCGTTCACCATGCCTCCAACAAGTCTAGAACTTGAAAACTGAAATGCTCCTTTTTCGACATGGTAACCTCTAATAAAATATGTTAGAATTTCGATGTGACCCGAATTTTGTTTTGGAGGCATGTTTGGAGTTGATTGTTTGTTTTGGAGAAATCTTGAAGAAGTAAAAGACTACAAAGAGTCAAAGAAAACAAAAAATGGACCAGGGCGAAGAAGTTATCGCAAAAGCGCTTGCAGCCGCTCATCAGGCGCTCAAGGCTCTCAGAACAGGACCTTGGCCTCTCGAGCGACAGTGGCACCACTCGCTATCCGCGAGGGTGCCGCTCAAGTGGCAGCTTTATCCAAATTTTCAGGATGGGACTCCTATTTCAACTTGAATAATCTGTTATTGTTTTTACCTATTATAGTAGGGTTCTACTTTATATTGAACTCTTCATTGTGTTAATTTTCTTAGTACGTTAAGGATTTATGTATTATAAATATGTGGTGTGTTACACATATTTATTGGATCGACTCAGAGAGTGATCCAAGGGATCCAAATTAATAAAGAGAGACTCGCAAATAGAGAAATTCAAATAGTGAGATCAGGAGAGAGCCTTGTGAGATCCGGCATAACATATTGTAATTCCTTACTTATGATTAGTGAATTATCCGTCTCTGCACGCAATTTTTCTCATTTAGGGTTTTAACGTAAATTTTGTATTTTTGTAATTGTTATTTTCATATTGCCTATACCTCGTTTTTAATATTTATAATAAGTGGTATCAGATCTATGACAGGGATATAACAATTAGCTTAATTCCTAATAAAAACGAACACGACTCCCTATCCATACCCANTGGAAAGAATAATCTCTATGATATTTTTCCAATAGTATAAGATTATTTTCCTTAATAGTTGATTGTATAACTATTATACAATTTTTTCCTTTTAGAGTTATTTATAACCCTATAAATAAGAACTTTTACTTTGTAATAGAAACGAGTTTATTATATACAATTCATAATATCTCAAATGGATTAATAATTTAATTTCAATTGGTTAGTGAACTTAAATTTAGTTTCAAATGTAATTCAAAATGGATGAAAGTTGTTTAATAGCAGTCATACTGCAAAGGATAGTCCGCGTAATAGTATGACAACTTATGACTACTTCACGTTATAAAAGTGATAAAATAAAATAAAAAAATGTATTTTAACCCTTTGATCTAAAGATATTGCTAGAAACGTCATTTTATCATTTTCCTTTCAAGGGTACTACATAATTTGAAATAAAATTGAAGTTTAGTGATACAATTGAAACAAATTAAAGTTAAATGATTTAATTGAAAATTTACTAAAAGTTCAGTACTGCAAATGAAATTTACCCTCAATTATCATGGATACTACACAGTGACGAGGGTAAACATGTTCCATAAATAGTCAAAGTTATGAACAAAATGAGAACGTCAAGAATTTAATTTTTTAATTATCGAATCGAATATTATGCATCATTTCAAATTATGTCAACAAATGCAAAGGAGGGTTCAGAGTCGGCCTAAGAAGAGCTTTGTAGAGAAAGAGTTAGTAGTTAAGATGGAAGAAGATGAACGAGTGAGACCATGGTTAGGACTCGATAAAGGAAATGCTAAAGCTTTCAAATAGTATTAATCTTTCGATGGGGGTGACTTCCACTTATCTTTTACCTTGTCAAAAATCGAAAAAAGATGCATGCGGGGCCATTATTACTTTAATGCATATTATTAACAGGGTGTATCCAGGGGGCGGAGTCAGCACCAGGCGAGCCCCTACGGTCGCCCGCGCTGGTTCCGTTGGAAAATTTTTTCCGTACATTGGTCGGCCGTTCATGCTCACCCGGATTCCTGAATTCGCCACTGAGTGTATCTAAAAGGACTCTTTAATATGGATGCGAATCTTTTGTACACTTTTTCCAGACTTAGCCACACCACACCCTCCAAAAACAAAAGTAAATGCATATCTTAATCTTGATAAGATTTCTTTTATCTATCTAACTGCATATAAATATATGTATCCAATATGCAGATTTATTGAAAATTGAATCTGGAGTTTTCATTTTCTTGCAAAGAATAGTAATTTTCAATATTTGTGCATTTGTACTGTCAAATATCTTTATTTTCTTCTCTAGTTTGCCTATTTAAATTTATTCTGTACATTATGCAGTTTGAATAGAGGAAGAGCCACCATGATTAATCTTGATTCAACTGGAGTCCCAACTCCAAGAAGGCTTGAAGTTCTTGTCAATCCTTTACTTCTGTGTAATCATAATCGAGAAAAAATAGAAATTCTTACATGAAAATAAACTGTAATTTTCAAAAATTTGTTTTTCTACAAATCAAATATCAGGGAAAATACAAGGCAATGGTGATTTCTTGGTCCGGGGTCCCTTTTCTCATGGAACAGTATGCTGACAATAGGGGATTACTACTATAATTTGTTCCCAGTAAGCTACTTAATATCCATCTTTTTGCAGCTTTGAATTGTTCACAGTAAAAGCCACTCCTTAAGAAGAAAAATAAAAAATAACCCATGTTGTTGTCTGTAGAGGTTCAATAGTCTGAAACTTCTGCAAATAGAATGAATTTTACGTCATCCCTGATCGGTGGAACATTGAAATGTTGACTACATATAACAGTTGATAATTGAATAATAATTTTTTTTAGAGTAGCTATTTTTATCCACCATTCTTATATATCTAATCACTTTTAACTTTATGTAAATTTACTTAAATAAACAAATAGTCCAACTTAGTTAACCAAGTCCATCAGACGCAATCCCCATTCACCGTGCCTCCAATAAGTCTAGAACTTGAAAACTGAAATGCTCCTTTTTCAACATTGTAACCTCTAATAAAATATGTTAGAATTTCGATGTGAAATATGTTAGAATTTCGATGTGACCCGAATTCTATTTTGGAGGCATGTTTGGAGTTGATTGTTTGTTTTGGAGAAATCTTGATGAAGTAAAAGACTACAAAGAGTCAAAGAAAACAAAAAATGGACCAGGGCGAAGAAGTTATCGCAAAAGCGCTTGCAGCCACTCATCAGGCGCTCAAGGCTCTCAGAATAGGACCTTGGCCTCTCGAGCGACAGTGGCACCACTCGCTATCCGCGAGGGTGCCGCTCAAGTGGCAGCTTTATCCAAATTTTCAGGATTTTGCAATTGGTCAGTTCTGGGACTCCTATTTCAACTTGAATAATCTGTTATTGTTTTTACCTATTATAGTAGGGTTCTACTTTATATTGAACTTTTCATTGTATTAATTTTCTTAGTACGTTAAGGATTTTTGTATTATAAATATGTGGTGTGTTACACATATTTATTGGATCGACTCAGAGAGTGATCCAAGGGATCTAAATTAATAAAGAGAGACTCACAAATAGAGATATTCAAATAGTGAGATCAGGAGAGAGCCTTGTGAGATTCGGTATAACATATTGTAATTCCTTACTTATGATTAGTGAATTATCCGTCTCTGCACGCAATTTTTCTCATTTAGGGTTTTAACGTAAATCTTGCATTTTTGTAATTGTTATTTTCATATTGCCTATATCTCGTTTTTAATATT